GAGGAAGCACTACATAATTTTATTGAAGGACAACCTACTATCAGTACTAGAAAGATTGCTTTCCAGCTAAATGTTGATCATATGACTTTATTTCGAATTTTAAAGGAACATCTCTTATACCCTTACCATCTGCAACGAGTACAGGCACTGTTACCGCGAGACTTTCCGAACCGTCTTGAATTTTGCAATTGGATGCTGGAAATGATTAAAAGAAATCGTGACTTTCTGAAGACGATCGAATTCACAGACGAATGTAGTTTTTCTCAGGACAAGATTATTAATTTTCATAATTACCACATATGGGCTGATGAAAACTCTCACGCTATTGTCGAAACTCACCATCAAGAACACTTTTCTCTTAACGTGTGGGCCGGAGTTATTGGTGATTATTTAATTGGGCTTCATTTTCTACCTCCTCGATTAAATGGTGAGGCGTACGTTCAATTTTTAAGAGAAGTGCATCCCTTACTGCTGGAAGAAGTTCCTTTGGGCGTCAGAAGGGATATGTTTTTTATGCATGATGGGGTTCCCGCCCATTTTAGTCAAGTAGCACGTCAGCATTTAACTGAAACATATGCAGTGGATAGGTCGAAGAGGACCACAGAATTGGCCCACTCGATCCCCGGATCTCAATCCTCTCGATTTCTCTACTTGGGGCTATTTGCAGCATTTGGTTTATCGTACTCCTGTTCGCGATGCAGAGGACTTAAGAAACCGCATCTTCGATACGTGCAGGGTAATTAGAGAGACTCCAGGATTATTTGAGCGAATACGTGGCTCAATGCGCCGACGTCTAGACGCATGAGTAATGTCTGAAAGTAGACATATTGAACATTTACTATGATTTCTACATGTTGTATGTTTTGTTATTAATAAATTAGTTTTGATTATTCCCCTTTTTAATCATTTAATGCAGGTAGTAACTACAAAATAACAATAAATCCAGTTCGCATTTATGACGATGTATCTCTGTAGTTGTTCGTAAAATAATTTTTTGCTGCGAACTGGTTTATTTTGGGCAAAAAATTCAAGAGACATTTTTTGTTTAGAATGAAACAGGCTATCGGAAATAAAATTTTAAATGGTAAACAAATAATAAGACAAAAAGTTACGTTGGAACGAAATTTTAGGGGTTGCGTTTACCACCCCTTACAACCATGAGGTAAACCAAATAAATTACTGGCAAAGTGTCTTTTTGATAGTAGAAAATGACAGGTTAATTTCAATATACGTAACTTGTTTAGTGCTTGTGAAAAAAATTGTTGAACACATTTTATCTACCCCCTTTAAGGGGCTGTATCTTAACAAGGGATACTCCAATGAATTGTCTTTATATGAAAGATCCTATCTTTTTTTTGATGATGAATCATCCCCTTAAATGTTTTACCCTTATTTAGTTACACCCTGTATTTCCAGATATTATTACCGTGGTGCGTTACCATTTTCTAATAGTTGCTTCGCCAATAGCCAAATGTACGCAGATTATCAAATAAATACAGGGTGATCAATAAGTAATGGCCCATAATACTTCATATTATACAATTAAGAAACAATTATGTATTCTAAATATTTGACTGGTATAATTTGTAAGATGAACGGAATCCTTCTTTTAATATAGGGAAACCTTGTTACACATTCTTAATATTTTTCCAGTGCTTATTTTTAATGAGTATTATAGACCCATTATTAATGTTAACGTATGCACATTTCGCTCTGATACAACATGTATATAAATTCCCAAAATTTTGCGAAGCAGTAATAATGCAGAAAAAATTAAAGCTATATGTTGACAAATATGTTGTAGCCTTAGATTAAAGAGACCGAAGATGTAACATTGCACACTGCGCATGCAGTCTATTTTAAGCCAAAGTAACCCACCAATTGAAAATCATTGTTGCACGACGCCACCCGAATTGCTCCGATTTCCATTCAGCGATCACACCTCCACCTGAGTTTAATCACCATTGACAGCTGTTTTTTGATTTATTTGTTGGTATTTTAGCAATTTAAAGTGTTCTAGTTATTCAATTTCAAGTTCAAAATGTCACGATGTATCTTGAAAAATTGTATGTACTTATAATACAAGTACTACTGTTATGAATATATTCGTTTTCAGCAGTAAATATTTATTAACGTTTTGACATAAAGCGCCATGATTCTCTGGGCTGAATACTTCAGATCCGCATTAAGGGGTTTCAATAAATATTAAACATCAGATTTCATATTACATAAATTTACAAAAGGGTAAAATTTTGAACATTTAATTTAAATAAATAGTAAATAGGCATTATTGCTAACGAAATTTTGTATTTAAAAAGTAGTTTTATAAGAATGTTTTCTAAAGGTAGTTTTTAGCCCTTTTTGGTAGATAAATAAGAGGTAAAGAATCATAGTTGCTAGCTAAATTTTATTTTTATAAGGTATTTTTATAAGAATATTAGATGAAATACAGGATGACCTAATTAAAATTTCAAGGTTCATCTTATTTGCGGTCAAATCGAAAGTGACATTGAATTTTCAGTCTTAAAACAAAGTAATCTAGTATAAACAAAAAAAAAATACTAAAGTTACAGGAGTTAGGTCCGATTCCACCGTTGTGTTAAACGGAGATTAAAATGACAGTGTTAATGTAAAAATGTCATTTTAAACTTCGTTTAACACAACGGTGGAATCAACCCTTAGTCACGTTAATAAAATGTTACATTACAAACCCCTAAACAACTCGAACATAATTTTCGTTTACTAAAAAAAATCCAAAATTTAGCAATATTTATTTATTATACAAGCGAATGCGATTTCAAAGATAACTGGATCAAAAAATCCGAATCTCTAAATTTTGGAGCTAAATGCTCAGATAAAAGCAAGCGACCGATAGGGGTTACAAAAATAATCGATTTATCGATAAATCTGATATTTTTTAATGAAAATTGATTTATCCGCTGTTTTTAATAAATTATTTTCGTTTTTTTTTAAGATAATGTATTAATCGATTTTAAAGGAAATACAGAAAAAGTACATTTATTCAAAATTATCGATTTATCGTTTAATCGGTTTTTTAATTATTTGATTATTTTCGATTTTTCAAAGATATTATATGAAAATAATCGATTGAATATAATCGGTTATTTTACATAATCGATATTTTGGTTATTTTTTTAAAATTATCGATTTATTGGATAATCAGCTTTTTAATAATCAATTATTTTCGATAATCGAATAATCAATTTCAAAGGAAATATGAAAAAAGGATTATTAGAAAATAATAGATAATTCGTTTTATTTTTTGGAAAATCGATTTATCATAGAATCGGCTTCTTAATTAATTGGTTATTTTCGATTAGGCGATTATTTTGGAATTATTGATTATTTTTGGTATTTCAAAGATAACCGAATTATCGATTTTAAAGGAAATACAATAAAAATAGATTATTGATAATAATCGATTGATCGAAAATAATCGATTATTTAAAATAATCGATCATTCTGTTTTTTTTTGAAAATCGATTTGTCAGTTAATCGACTTTTTAATTAATCGAATATTTTTGAAATACAATAAAATAGATTATTGGTAATAATCGATTTATCATAGAATCGGCTTCTTAATTAATTAATTATTTTCGATTAGGCGATTATTTTGGAATTATCGATTATTTTCGCTATTTCAAAGATAATCGAATTAACGATTTTAAAGGAAATACAATAAAAATAGATTATTGATAATAATCGATTGATCGAAAATAATCAATTATTTAAAATAATCGATCATTCTGTTTTTTTTTTAAATCGATTTATCAGTTAATCGACTTTTTAATTAATTGATTATTTTTGATTAATCGATTATTTTCGATTTTTCAAAGATTATCGAATAATCTGTTTCCATGGACGAAAAAAAAATGGTTTATTTGAAAATAATCGATTATTTAAAATAAACGATAATTCTATTTATATTATATTTTGTCAACACTGATTTATCGGTTAATTGGCTTTTTAATTAATCGATTATTTTTGATTTTTCAAAGATAATCAGGTAGTCGATTTTAAAGGAAATTACAAAAAATATATTGTTTGAAAATAATCTATTGATCGAAAATAATCGATTATTTTCAATTATCGATAATTTATTTCGATAATCACTCATCCCTAGCGACCAAATGACTTTTAATAGATTTAAATTTTAAAATGTTATCTGGTTTCAGACATATGCATTTCTAGAGTTTTATGTGACTCATCCTTTATAATAAATAATATTCTTAAAGAAAGAAGCCTTAATATACTTTTTCTGAGGTTACAATGCAAAACAGCATTTTCTCATTTTGACTAATTTTTAATAATATGTAATAGCCGTAGAAAAAATATAATGTTCAACTCATAAGGGTAGATTTGCAGTATTAGCCTGCGCACATGCTATTTTTATAATACTCGTAGACAATGAGTAACATTTTTTGCTCTATTAACAATATATTCTATTTCAACATTTTACTGTAATCTCTTGCAGAAAAGTCCGTAGTAAATAAACGCTAACGAAATATTCTATAAAAGGTCTTCTCTTTACATAAAATGTCGTGGCATCTGTTTGATATTAAAAAATCACGATAATTTGATTTCATAATACAAAATTCGATTAAACACCTTTTAAATAAACCTAATAGTTCATTAAGTTGCTAATAAACAAAGTCCGGTCCCTGTCACAGAGTTCGAGTCGCCGCGTGTCGCCGCCCAGTTCCCCCACTCCGTTAACCCTTCTTTAGAAATTGGCAACATTTGCGCAGGTTTAAAACCGGTGTATGTTATATCTCTGGTCTCTTTTATCTAAGGTTGTAGCTTAATGGTACTAAACCTTGGTAAAAAAATCAGTGAAAATGTATCAATAAATTTCTTTTAAAAATATGTTGCAAAAGCTTTTTAATCTTGAAGAAAACTAATAGCTACTACAATAAAACAAGGCGCAGTCAGAAAACTTATGATGATGACTCTCGTTCAAAACGCAACTCTAAACCTACCTGGAGTGCATTCTGGAAAACTGGTGACTGCCCAATCGCCGTGCCAACACCTCAAGTTCCTCGGACCTTGGACTTGATAACCGTCTTCGCAAGAAAACTCTACGACTTGTCCGTTCTCTATATCGACAGTTTCGTTCAGGGGTTGATCAACGTCGAACGTTATATTTGAGGTTATCTCCGATTTAGATAATTTATAGATACCGAACGGGGTAAGAGGCACGAAACACGGTACTAAAATAAACCGGACAAATCACAGAAATGGCTGATTTTAAATTAAATTCTGCCTGTTTTTATTAAAATCTAGCAGAAGGCCTTTGATTAAAAAAAGAAGAAAATATGTTAAATTTGCAATGAACAAATCTGATTAAAAATATAGAAAATATTTCGTTTAAAATTAAAAAATTATTATTAGAAACTTGCTTTAACAATATTTTGACATTTTATTGTGTTTCCATATAAGACGGGTTGATTCCTATGCCATTGATATATTTATAATGAAATTAATATTTTAACAAATAATTTATTTTTTGCTTTATAAATGCACTTGTCCCGACGTCATGATATCACTAACTAACCAACAGAAGGGTACTTTGAAATATAAAAATCCTCCAGAGGTCGTTAGTTAATGATGTACCTTTTTGACCATTAACTAGACACACAGACCACTCTAAATAGATCAGAGGAAGCATAAGTATCAACCCTCCTAACATATTGATAAAAACAAATAGTATAAATTTTAAAACTACCTACATATCAAACACATTGGTTTCGTTGGTCTCCATTTTCCTCTGACACATTTGGCAGTCTTGTTTTCGGGCATATTCAATCCATAACCCTTCCCGCACGCCATTTTAATAATCGTGCCGGCACTAAAAGTGACATTAGCATCTTTACCATACTTCACCACCTCGATATTCACGTATGGTTCACTGGATAACGGTTCACAGGGCCCCTTGTTCTTCGGTTTTGGACTTTTAGGTTCCACCACTTGATTGATCGGCTGTTCGTCTTCTTCGTCTTCGTATTGCTTTCGATTACCTCTTCGGAGGTTCAAGCTGGAACTTGAGCCTCTGTGGGCTGTTCCTAGAGCTCTACTACCACCGCCTCCTTTAAATAATAAATCAACATTTGATCGAGAGTAAAAAGAATATTGTTCTAAATATTACCTTTAAGTGCCCTCTTCCTCCTGATCCTACTAAAAACATTCAATACTTCAGCTACTCTTTGAAACAATGGCTTTTCCAAAACGCTCCTCTTTCTTCTATGTAATAGAGAATTCTCCTTGACCAGATGAAGATAATTATGAACATGCCTTCTCTCTCTGCCGCCGTAAATGAACCTTTGATTCCTGATGAACGCCCGCTTATACTTTTCCATGATAGCAGAACGTTTTCTTCTGTTCCATCTTATCCTAGGATGTTGACCTAAAAGACATCTAAAAAGATTTAATTGAAATGAAAGTGGAGTTGTGTTAATTTTACTTCGGTAACTCTTTCGGGCTCCAGTTACCACCGATGCAGGTGGCTCCTGGGGGGCCTTCGGCCAGAAAATAGCCTTTTTGGCAGTCATACATAATTTGTTTGTTATTGATCACCTTGCGTACGTATGGACGGTAGTCATACAAACCCATGTTGCCCACTAATAGGATCTTCCCGTTCATTACTTCACCTGGATATGGACAGTAGACTGCAAAGCAATTGTATTGTAACGAAATTAGGTTGGATTATTTTAAAATTAAGACAAAATATTTCTTATCACATGTGATTGCTCATACCTTCCTCGCATTTTGGAATATCCCCTGTCCAATTTCCAAACGAGCATTCCATTAAATCGCCTCCTTTCACCTCAAAACCGTCTTTGCATCTAAATCTTGCTTTCATACCGTGTTCCATCTTTGGAGCAATAACCATACCATTTCTTGGAGCCTTTGGAAGAATTTTGCATCTGAAATCAAAATGTACCAAACTCATAATTATCCTAACCTCGGTTACAACAAATAACCTATGTGGTCTTGTTTTACAGACCTTGCTGGGTCACATTTTGGCATCGATGTCCAAGTACCATTGTTACAAGTCACCGGAGCCAGATTTGCCAAAAACTCATAGTGTTGCTCGCAGTCTACAGATAGAGCTTCGCCATGTTGAACCACAGTTGATGTCATCGCCGTTTCGTTTCTACCAATTAGAATAACTTTACCTTGGGTTACATGTGGTACTACACATGGTGCTGTAAGCGATAAACCACAGGCATTATTAGTGTAGAGTAATAGAGGATGGAAACGGTGTACACACCTAGGCATTTTGGTAGAGGATACCTCCATTTACCGTCTATCTGGCAAACGGTAGATGTATTTCCTTCTAGATACATTCCATCGTGACATCTGAAAATGATAGACGCTCCCAGACCAGTACCAGCTTCAATGTTTTCCAACCAACCGTTCCAAAGTCTTCCTGGGTGACCGCAATTGATCTCTATGAATAAAAAAGCATAATATTCTGTACTCGGATGTAAAGCCCGCTGGCAGATCAAGATTTAGTGAACTGAATGATCTACGCGTAGGCATGGGTATCTAATAATGATATAAATAAATGAAGTTACCTTTACAAACCGGTTGACTTCCCGACCACTTCTTATCGGCACCACATCTCCTGGTGCTTTCGCCAATCAGCGTATAGCCGTATTTGCATTCGTAGCTCACGACGGAGTTGTAGCTACAAGACGTGTACACAGCTTTTCCGTGTCTTGGATTGTCCGGAGGCGGGCACTGAACCGCTGTAACCACTATACAACAACGACCAATAAAAAAACCTTTTCGTTATAATGCCTACTTTCATACCCACCTACGCATCATCACATAATGGTCTAGACGTTCTAATAAATACATAAATATAGAAAAAATGCTGCAATTCATACAAGAAACCAGCTATTTGTTTAAACTGTTCAGATAAATTTCAAGAATTGTGTGAAGTAAAAGGAAATCTGCAAACCTAATCTATTATATTATTCTAAAAATATTCCAAGGTCATGTTAGAAAAAATGGCTAATCTTGAACATTAAGGTCTAGTCCAATCATACGGTGAGTCATAGAAAAAGCGACATTACAAAAATTGGGAAGAATTTTTTAGTGATCCACAAAAAATATTTCTAAAGTAGACCATGACCGACAGACAGAGATTGGAGTCATATCTGCCATGTCATGTCTATGCAGTTTGTTCTTCTTTAAGAACTTTATATTGAATCATATATGCAGTCACCCCAATTTACAAAATTTCAGGTTGTGAAAATAACCGGTAATTCAAACAGTCTGAGGTAACATAAAGTGGCGAAAGTATCAGAATATATAGGTTTTTTGTTTTCGTATGTCACAAGTTTATAACAGGTACAAAATGGGTCACAGGACGTTTCCCTGTGGTATTCTTGCCTGGATTTCTTTCAATTCAGAGTAGGTTTAATCTTGCTATACTCTACAGAATCTATCTGAAATGTAGTTGTTAGGCTAGAACAAAATTGATCATTGAACAACTTTTGATCAGCCTATAATAATAATATTAATAATAATAATAATAATAAAGGTCCCTTAGGCAGTTAAACTCATTTAAAACCATTTAAAACCAATTTAAAACCATTTAAAACCATTTAAAACCATTTAAAACCATTTAAAACCATTTAAAACCATTTAAAACCATTTAAAACCATTTAAAACCATTTAAAACCATTTAAAACCATTTAAAACCATTTAAAACCATTTAAAACCATTTAAAACCATTTAAAACCATTAAAAACCATTTAAAACCATTTAAAACCATTTAAAACCATTTAAAACCATCTAAAACCATTTAAAACCATTTAAAACCATTTAAAACCATTTAAAACCATTTACAACTATTTAAAACCATTTAAAACCGTTTAAAACCGTTTAAAACCGTTAAAAACCGTTTAAAACCGTTTAAAACCGTTTAAAACCGTTTAAAACCGTTTAAAACTATTTAAAACCGTTTAAAACCGTTTAATACCGTTCAAAACCGTTTAAATCCGTTTAAAACCGTTTAAACCCGTTAAAAACCGTTTAAAACCGTTTAAAACCATTTAAAACCGTTTATAACCGTTTTCGTACATATCATAATAAAATTTGCCATTTTTTCATAATTCTATGCATTTTTTTATAACAAATTAGTCAAAAACAAAAATTATATTCGAAACCGTTTTTGATTAATGAAAAATTCTTCCTATTTTCGCAAGCTTTGATGACTGAACTAGTTATCATATGGGGAGTTCAACAAAATTAAAAAAAAAGTTCAAAGTCATATAGGAACGATGTCTTTTCAAAATTTAAATGCTAATTAAATTCAGAATTACAATGACCTATAATAAAATATGAACTTAAACTAGAATTGATCTATTACTATGATAACTTAGGTATACGATGACAATACTTAAAATTACATTCTACGATATTAATAAACTGCGATTTCGATAGGTACTCTACAACCACCTTAATCTATAATAACCTTAATAGGTGATGACCTTAAACAACAATGCTCTTAATTGGAATGACCTAAGATGCTCTTGATCTACAATGACTTTAGTTTAAAATGAGCTTAATCTGGGATGACTTTAAGCTACGGTGACCTTTATCTGAAATAACGTTAATTACAATGATCTTGAGTTACGACGATAGTATTAATCTACGATGACCTTAAGCTACAATAACTTTAGCATTGACATTATTAGCAATGATGACCTTGAACTAGAATAGCATTGGTTTACACGACCATATTTTTTCCTAAAAATGATACTTACGAACACATGTGGGTAGTTCCTTTGGAGACCAAACGCCGTCAGATTGACAGAACCTTTCGTTTTTACCGACAAGTTCGTATTCTTCGGCACAGTGGTACGTTATCCTGCACCCAAAGGTGTAACACTCACCAGCGTGCCAACCATGGGATATATCAGTCGGAGGGCCGCATGACCTTGCTGATATAAAAAAAATAATAAATAAGAGTAGATAGATAAATAAAGGTCAGTTACTTACGTTCGCATGCTATATCTGGGCCGTACCAAGAGGCTTGGTGTTCTACCGCTAAGCATTTGGCTCGCGGAAACCCATTGGTAACGTACCCAGTATGACAGTAATACTGCAAAGTTGAGTCCAAATCAAACGTGGATTGCTCTGCTGGAGCGTTGTGTCGAGCATGGTCGATGGAGGGTGGTGTCAAACAGTAGACTAATAACAGAGAAATACCTGTCAAATTTTTGCTTTAAATTTATTTAGAATATTTGAAATTTTATCCAACATGGTTTAAAATATGTCAAAAATACCTTGAAACCTATATAAAAAGAATGAAAATCATTTAAAACGGCTTAAAAATATTTAAAATTAATTAAAATAATTTAAAATTATTTAGAACGATTTAAAACGATTTAAAACGATTTAAAACGATTTAAAACGATTTAAAATGATTTAAAACGATTTAAAACGATTTAAAACGATTTAAAACGATTTAAAACGATTTAAAACGATTTAAAACGATTTAAAACGATTTAAAACGATTTAAAACGATTTAAAACGATTTAAAACGATTTAAAACGATTTAAAACGATTTAAAAAGATTTAAAAGGATTTAAAAGGATTTAAAAGGATTTAAAACGATTTAAAACGATTTAAAACTATTTAAAACGATTTAAAACTAATTAAAACGATTTAAAACGATTTAAAAGGATTTAAAAGGATTTAAAACGATTTAAAACGATTTAAAACGATTTAAAACGATTTAAAACGATTTAAAACGATTTAAAACGATTTAAAACGATTTAAAACGATTTAAAACGATTTAAAACGATTTAAAACGATTTAAAACGATTTAAAACGATTTAAAACGATTTAAAACGATTTAAAACGATTTAAAACGATTTAAAACGATTTAAAACGATTTAAAACGATTTAAAACGATTTAAAACGATTTAAAACGATTTAAAACGATTTAAAACGATTTAAAACGATTTAAAACTATTTAAAACTATTTAAAACTATTTAAAACGATTTAAAACGATTTAAAACGATTTAAAACGATTTAAAACGATTTAAAACGATTTAAAACGATTTAAAACGATTTAAAACGATTTAAAACGATTTAAAACGATTTAAAACGATTTAAAACGATTCAAAACGATTTAAAACGATTTAAAACGATTTAAAACTATTTAAAACGATTTAAAACGATTTAAAACGATTTAAAACGATTTAAAACGATTTAAAACGATTTAAAACGATTTAAAACGATTTAAAACGATTTAAAACGATTTAAAACGATTTAAAACGATTTAAAACGATTTAAAACGATTTAAAACGATTTAAAACGATTTAAAACGATTTAAAACGATTTAAAACGATTTAAAACGATTTAAAACGATTTAAAACGATTTAAAACGATTTAAAACGATTTAAAACGATTTAAAACGATTTAAAACGATTTAAAACGATTTAAAACGATTTAAAACGATTTAAAACGATTTAAAACGATTTAAAACGATTTAAAACTATTTAAAACGATTTAAAACGATTTAAAACGATTTAAAACGATTTAAAACGATTTAAAACGATTTAAAACGATTTAAAACGATTTAAAACGATTTAAAACGATTTAAAACGATTTAAAACGATTTAAAACGATTTAAAACGATTTAAAACGATTTAAAACGATTTAAAACGATTTAAAACGATTTAAAACCATTTAAAACGATTTAAAACGATTTAAAATGATTTAAAACGATTTAAAACTATTTAAAACGATTTAAAACGATTCAAACCGATTCAAAACAATTTAAAAAACATAATTGGTAAAGGTAACAATACTTACCGTTTTGCTTGCAGGCAGGTGCGCTTCCAGCCCATTGGCCATCTGCTTGACAGTTTCGACTTTGTAGGCCTACTACGTGATAACCGTGCTGGCACGTGTACGTAGCTTTAGCACCAAATAATTTACCACTAGCCGTGACCGTTCCATCAGCTATGGGTTCAGGGTCAGGACATTCACGATCTAAGAACAAACAAAATCATACCAATGCACAAAACTAGTTTTTGTAATTAAATTGTTTGTGACTCTGTTTGTGATATTGGTTTAATAATTCATTTCATGAATACCAACCTGGTTTGATGCATGACAATCCACATGAACCGTCACAAAGGCACTTTTTCTTCTTGCTTTTGCAGTCTTCGTCCGAAGAACATTTTCTTAGACATTTCTGGCCCTAAAACGTCAAAACTACAATATTATTTTAGACAAATAACAGTGGAAGTAGAACCACACAACATCTTCAGCTGATCCGATAGATTTTCGAACAACATTGTGCCATTGACTTAAGCTTGCTTAAACAATTGTTTGAATAACGATCAATTTACAGAGAACTCCTCTTGTGAAAGAGCTCTGAATTGTTACTTACAAGTAAGGTGGCTTGCTCTTCGTCTCTTGGACACTCAGTAGAGGGAGAGTTTCTGGGATTTTTGTATACTTTACCATCATCGTCGATTTCTGACGATTCGGGTTCGTCCCAATCTTCATCGTCTTCGTCTGTAGTAGGGGTTGTGGTAATGATTGATGCGTTCCTTCGCGTTCTCAACGTTGATACTGTAAATAATGAAATGTATTTAAATATTTATTTAATATCTGATTGTTTGCCTAACATTGTTCCTATATTATTTAAAATCAATATACAAGAAATATAGTCAATTCTAAAAACTATAATCATGATCTTTCGAGCCAAATACAATACGTATGTGTTTGCGGTATTGTACATATATTATTTATATTCACAATATCCATCTGGATAGACCTAATTTATAGCACAAGATAAGCACTATAAAAATAACTAAAATAAATACAAACCAACAAAAGAAAAAAGAAGAAAACATACAGAAAAATAAAAAATTACAAAATAAGGACAGCAATATGCACAAGGGGCGCAGAGAGGACTAAGTATCGTGTGTTAACCCATCCTCTACACATTTCTGATACACAGGGCCGACTAGAGGGGGGGGGGGGCAGCCGGGACTAATTTCCGGGTTCCGGGGTCCGGACTCAAATGGGGGCCCGGCAGCGGTATAAGGGGGTCCGGCAACTGTGGTGAGGATTTTTGTTATCTCTCAGGCACAAGGCAAGCGGGGAAGTTTTTGGTTTAGCCCCTTTGTTTTTTTTTTTTTTTGTTTAGAAAATACAATTTAAGTAGAGGAGGAAAAGTTTTTGATTGAAGATCTTTTCTTAGAGAAATTTAAGTAAAGAGGAGAGAATTTTTTTTATAAAATTGTCACGGGGACAGATCCAGAGAATTGTCCTGGGGCCCGGCCTGGCTCTCGGCGGCCCTGCTGATCCATAAGAACAGCAATGAACACACACTGGAAAATGAAAAAAATTCTGAGGAGAAAAAAAAAGTATCTTCATTTTAACCTCTTACAACGTAGAGGCAACAGACAGTTGAATATTTTCAATAGGCAGTAGAATATATTCTATACATTTTCATTGATAAATAATATGAAAGAAAGTGTCCCAAAGCAAAGCCTTGAGATACGTCTGATGTTTAATAAAAGATAGAGCCGATATCCAAGACACTAAAAATTGTGAGAAGTTCAAAGAAAATGACCCAAGTAGATTTATCCCAATCTATCCAGCTTGGTAAACAGTAGGTTATGATTAATTCTTGCCAAAGGCTTTGGAGAAGTTAGTGTAGACAACGCCTACCTGGCCTCTTCTGTCCATTGTCTCTGCGATAAATTGAGTCTTACAGAATAAATTACATACAGTTAACAATTACCAAGACAAATGTATGTAAAAAGTTACACATGTAAAGTTACTCCTCCTTATAAAAAATATCTACCGCCGTACCTTCCCATTTCCGAAATATTTCAAAAATGTTACATTGGAACATTTGTAATGTTGTATAAATGTTACGAAACATCCCAGAAACATTTCTGAAATGTGCCTGAAACGTAAAATGTTCTATAGATATAATATTTCACAGTAATATTTCTGAAATGAAAATTTGAAATCTTTTAGAAATATTAAATAGTAATATATCAGAAATGTATTGTAGTTTTTTTTTAAATATTATTAAACTAAAAAAATACATTTAAAATACATAAAACTCAAACATTGATTCTTAAACAAACAAATAAACAAATAATTTTTAAACATTATTTCATAAAGTATAAAAGCGAATTGCTTAATTTTTACCAATTCCTTTAAATGCACTAATCTGAAACAAATCAATTAGCAATTTTATTCCAACCTAACTTATCTAAGGATGAAAAACTTCATAAACTAAGATTCTATTCACTAGTGTACCTTAGAGTCTGATAATTTAGTTACACTACCGTTAACGTGTAACACTTTTAACTGCACTATACTCTGCTTTAATCTAACATCACTGAACTAACTCAAAAGTTACACTACCGTTAACGTATGACACTCTTAACTGCACTATACTCTGCTCTAATCTAACATCACTGAACTAACTCAAAAGGCTTGGTTCTCTTGAGTCTTCTCATTAGATTGGCATTGATGAGGAGCTGGATAATGTCAAGGTTTCCATGTTGGAGCAGTCATTGTTGGTGACTACTGGCAAATTTTTGTATTGTATTTTCAACAGTCTCCACCTTAAAGTCTCTATGGCAGTACCAGGGCGCATCGACGTTGTTCCTTAATACTTTATTCTGGAATCGTTGAATAAGCTGGCGAATTGCTTTATTTCCATCTATTCCTTTAAATGCACTTATCTGAAACAAATTATAGGTAAATAAAAAGGATTTATAATAATTATTTCATTAACAATAGTTTTATTAATATTGTTTTAAATTAACTATAATAAAACTAAATAAAATATGAAGCTCTCAGCTTTTTAATCAGCTGTAGAACGAACTGGTGGAGGGACAACAAATGTAGGTTATATTTAAATCAAAATAGGACTAAAACTACCTGTAAATGTGTTAAGCGAAATGGCGCTACTGGTCTCAGGGAAGAGATAATGTAAATAAACCTAACATAAAAAAGCATTATTCCTGTAATACTCACCTTAATTTCTAAATATATATTCTGCTTCCCATATAACAACAGCACAACGCATAAATAACAAAAAAAAGAACTGATAAAAACTGACAACTCAAATCTATAATTATTTAGAATATAGGTTTGTCTAGTCTTCATAGTCTCTGCCTGGACATAAGGATGAAATGAAATTATTCTTACAAATCAGAAATTCTTCATTAAGTGTTGGCCTTTTACAACATAACCCATTTAGTAACCTTTTGTGTAACATGTATACCATGTTTCAGAAACATTTTCACTGAATTATTTAACTAAAATACACGGTTTTAGATAATCTCGTCTAGCAAGTATGTTGGCACAGATCCATACTTTCTTAAAAGCAAAAAGGATTATATATTTCTAATTTCTAAGTTTAAGAAAACTTTTTGTAGTTAGATCGCAAAGCCAGATATAAAACGTAAAAATAGGTAAGCAATATACAAAGACATGTCTTTGGCAATATACAAGGACATTACCTACAACTAAGAGACCAAATTGTTTACATTTTTATGTGGCAAATCATTATTCCCACCAGGGGCTCGATTCTCGAGATCATTGGAAAATTTTCCCATGGGAAAATATTCCACTACTTATATCCCCATAGTAATAGGTTATGCAATTCTCGAACGTGTCGGAATAGACATTCCCATGGAAATAGTAGTTTCACGTATGTCTGATATTAAGTTCACGAATATTTCGAAACAACCAATAACATTAAAGATATTTTAAAATTTACTGTTGGCAATATTTGTATTTGTTGTGGTTTTTGGGTATCCGATTACCTGCCGAGCCTCCGCGCTGGAGCAGGTGCCGTGCCGAGCAATCGCTATCATGATCGAGGAATAAGTGAAAATATTCGATTACGTATAATAATTAAAACTTGTCGAGTTATTCTTAGTTTTTCTTTTCTCATGTTGAAAAAAGAAAAGGTAGCTTTTGTATGGAAGAGCAACGAAAGTTTTGAGAAACTAAGGACCGATTCCACCGTTGTGTTAAACGAAGTTTAAAGTGACATTTTTACATTAACAATGTCACTTTAATCTCCGTTTAACACAACGGTGGAATCGGCCCTAAGAAATTCTTTCATTAACGAAAATAATAAAATTTTCGAAAAGTTCTTATTAAATTTACTACACTCAATTTGTGTTATTTGCCAGTCCCTTAGCAGCTCCCACAATTTCTAAATGATTTAGGAAAATCAGTTTATACAGTTTCTCAGTGAAAGAGAATTAAAAATAATATACCTACATAAATAAAATAATATCAATCTATAAATATGCCAAAAAAATGTTTTAACTACAATTTCACCAAAAATCCAAGATATCCAATAATCTTTGGTTATGTCTTAGACTTTCGCGTGGTCTTTCGTCAAATTTTCGACTTTAATGCGCAAACTCTAGTACAATTCCCATTGGAAAACACAATTTCCAATGCTCGTAAGCAAGGGAATATTTTCCCATACTTCTCATTGGAAAATATTCCACCGATTATGTAGAGAATACGAAAACTGAATTCCCATGGAACATTTTTATTTTCCCATTGGAATAAAAGTCGAGAATTGACCTCCAGATTCTCGTTTATTGCGTCTTTGCCGGTTTTATCAGTTTGTAAAAATTATTTGGAGAAATTACTTTCGAAAAATAAAATTTGATGTATCCTATAACTATAATTTTATATTATATAAATAAAAATATGTTTTTAATCAAATTATTCTTTAAAGTTTTAATATAAGCTTAATTTTTTATTAAAAATCAATATTAATCTAAACAAAATGTTAGGGTTGCAAAGAACTCCGTATAGTACCTATTTTTGTAAATGAAATGTACTTACCGTAACCAGCCGCAACGTTGCCAATCGGGTCTAACAGCTATTTTGTGTTTCTGACAGTTTCTGTGTGACTTATTAATTTACTCATTTATAAAATATTATTTTTGTGAACTTTTGTGAGAAATATAAAGAATTATGGTACATGCATGTGTACACGGAAAAAAAATTGTAGAACAAATTTCTACAATTGTAGATTTTTTCTCTACAATAAATAGTACATATAGGGACAGGGACAATTTGTAGTAAAAATTTCCAAATATTTGTGGAGAATGTATTGTAGAGTTATTATCTACAATATTTAGTAAAAAGATCCAAATGCATCATAAGAATTGTTCTACAAATTGTTATAATTTTTGTTATTCATTGTATGAATTTATATTAAAAATGTATTGCGTTTTATGAAAATAAATACGAAAATTTTACACAATAAATAGTAAAAATTCATACAAATTGTAGTAATTTTTAATAAAATTTGTAGTAGTATTCCATAATTATTATAATTATAACCTAGAAAAAAATGTTCCTTAATAAAATATTCAATTTATTGTTTTAATATAAAAGATACAAATTCTTAATTACATTATGTAATAAATAACAGTAATAATAGCGCCCTCAGTCTCAGTTGGCTTTTCTGCACCTGAAAAATAGGAAATAAAAATTAATACCAATTGAATTGTTCATACCCTTAAAACGGGGATATTAATCACCTTTACACTGATTTGGAT